GCAACGATGGCATCCATCGGATGAGCCTCTTGCTCTTCCAGGCCGTCATGTTTGCGGGAACGGCCTTTGTCGACATCAAGCATCTCCGCGCGGCTGGGTATCCGAACCGAAAGGCCGCCCGAAAAGCATTCTTTCAGAGGGCGAGGGTAGGTGCAGTTTTTGTTAAGTTGCGCGTCATTCTGCTGACGGGATTAGTTGCTGTACGACTTTGACTACGAAGTGGATCGTATCTCCCTCGTCCAAGCGCTGCTTTTGATGACCTATTGGTACGAGACGCCGGATGACCAGAAAGACACGTGGCATTGGATGGGAGTCAGCCTGTCGCTTGCCCACACGATCGGCCTGCACCGCGATCCTGCCAACTCCGGGATGGGCCCGCGAAAGAAACGGCTGTGGAAGCGGATCTGGTGGAGCACGTACACGCGAGACCGACTGATCGCGCTGGGGATGAGGCGGCCGATGCGGGTGAAGGACGACGACTGCGATGTGCCCATGTTGACGATCGACGACTTCGAATTCAAGACGTACCCTCCCGAGATCCTGAACATGCTGGGCAACTGTGAGCTCCTGCGGAACATCGACCAGCAGCGGCAGCTGGCGATGATGTTCATCGAGAAAGCGAAGCTGTGCCTGTGTGTCAGCCACGTCTTGACAGCTCAGTACTCAGTCCTCAGCCATCGGTTCGGCGGCACGACGGAGACGACGATGATGCTGGTGCCGAAGAAGTCGAGTTCGGAGACGTTCCAGGTCCGACGCTGCGACCAGGAGCTGGAAGACTGGCAGGCCAATCTGCCGGCGGAGATTCAGTACTGGACACCCCCATCCGGGAATCTGACGGAAGCGGAGGAGTCGCTACATGTGCATCGGGCGTTGCTACGGATGATCTACCTGACGACGTCGAGTGCGCTGCATCGGCCGCAAGTGTTGCCGGCGAGTCCGTTCCCGGCGGTGGATGCGGAGCTGCAGGAGATATCACGCAACAAGGTGCGATACGCGGCGGTCGAGATCACCAACATCGCACAGGGCCTGCATCAACTTGATCTGACGCGCTATCTGCCGACGGCGGGAGTGACGGTTCTGTTGCCGGCGGTGATCATCCATCTGCTGGACATCAAGTCGAACGACCCCAACGTGCGGATGGTCAGCCTGCAGCGCTTCTACCAGTGCATGCGAATCCTGCAGCGGCTGCGCGAGATCTACGCGTCGGCAGACTTTGCCACCTCGTTCCTGGAGGCAGCCATCCGGAAGGCGGGCATCCAGATCAACGTGCCGCCGGCTGAGACGCCCGCCCGACCACCGCCGCCCCCCGCCCCTGTCCGCCCGAAGACATTGACACCACCGCCGGATTCTCTAGCGCAGAAGCTCCCGGACCTGACGTATCCTGACCCGACACCGTCTGGGCTGCCAATTCCTGAAGATGGCGGGATGATGTTCGCGGCGACGCCGCCGCACTCGAACGGCAGCGAGAACGGCAGCACGCAGAACCTGAACCCGAACGTGGTCGATTCGGGCAATTTCGAGCCGGCCGGCCATGGTGGCAACGATGAGCTGAGTCTGGACGAATTCATCGACCTGGCCAACGACGCCGAAGTGACGCAGAACGACTTTGACGCGCTGATCAACTTTGACGACGCGGGTGCCGACCTGTTCGCGGCGGAGGACGGATTGGGGATGGGCCTGACGAACGGCGCAGACGGGAACCAGAATGGCGGCAGCGGCGGCGGGTTCAATTTCAACGTGGACCTCGGTCAGGATTTCAGCGAGAACGTCTTTAACTTGGACATGCCGGGTGGCAGCAACAACAGCAACAACAGCAACAGCAGCAGCAACAACAATAACAATAAGAAATCCTCCGTCGCCGGGTCAGAAGCTACTGGCCTAGACGTGAACGTGAACATGAACATGACCATGCCAAAGCCGAAAGAGCACGGCATGACGAGTGATCTGGAGGCAGATCTGGGCCTTGCCCTGGAGGCATGAGCCAGAGTCAGACGGGACGATATGACATGACAGTACATACAGTATACTACAAGTATAATCTTTTTTCTTGACTGTATTTTTACATTCTTGATCACTCGATTTATTTTTTTTCCCCCTACATATCTTTTTATTTTACTTCTTTCTTCTTCTTCTTCTTGGGTGGATACACAAAAGTTTGCGACGGCCGCAGTTTTTTTTTCTTTTTTATCTCAGGATGGACGGCTCGAGAATGTGTTCATGATTTATTTTATTGGGATATGACTTGACATGGACGTTCGTCGGTCGATACGGGGTTTGTTTATTTATTTACGTATTGTCTGTCCGATAGGGATCTTGTGTATGTATGTTAGGAAGGACAGGACAGGACAGGACAGGACAGACTGAGAGTATCTAGCTAGTTTAATGCCTATCTATACTAGGTATGAATATATGCCTTTTTTTTATTAACTTGAACTCGTTCCTTCTGTTTGTAGTGACAGACTTGGCTTGAATTAAGAAACTTGGGTGTTTTTTGTGCCATACCTAGATTTTCTTAAGAAGAAACGCATATAGATCGATACACTACAGATCTGTATGTAGACAGGACGAGTGAACACAAAACCACGTATGTACTGAAGTAAGTGCTATGTAGTAACTACGGACCACATTCGCCTGGTCAGTCGGGAGTGAGGCAAGGAGGGAGGAAGGGAGAGATTGACAATCGAATCGAATCGAATCAATACCCATCGAGAGATAGGTATGCAAGTACTGTACATAAATTACATGTACCATCTGTTTGTCTGTCTATCTATCTGTTGTTGATTGTCTGTTTCAACATGCTCCTCAAGCTTTCTCATAATTATAATTATAGTGTAAGAAGAAAGAACAGATCTGCGGGGTTGTTGGTCTCTTCTCACGGTCTCTAATTACTCTAGAGATTTCTATAATTAATTTTCACATGAAAGAAACAAAAATAGAAATAAAAAAACACTGGCATCATAATCATCCATGTCAGCACTACAGTATATCTTACGAATGTGTATCAGCTGCTCTGCTAGCATGTGATTATTACATATTGCATCGGTAGGTACAGTAGTATACTCCGTACATAGATAGCATGTGATTGTTACCTAACATGTATGTGATTTTTGACTTGATGATATGTAATAGTTAATTTTGCATGTGATAGTACTCACTCAACCCTAACCTACCTCCTAACCTACCTAGGCAGCCAAACTATTACTAAGGAAGGTTAGCTACCGTAGCCTCCTGGCCATTCTTAATTTAATGCATTAATTACGGCCGTAAGTAGTAGACAGAATCCACCTTATACAGATTCATTATTATCTCTCCACCAATGGAACCGATATCCGACTGCCTAAATTATTATTACCTGGCTATTAGTTTAGGTTCGGGTTTCGGAGTTGAGATTCATCTAATTCTATTGTCCCCTGTCTAGTACAGCACATTATACTCCGTACAGTATGGACTCTGACAGACAGATGGCGGGGCATAGCATTGCATAGCATTAGTGCAGTGCATTAATCATTGCAGTACAGTACAGTACAGTACAGTACAGTGTAGATACGCATAAGTTAGTGATTACTTAGTTATATAGAAATCAATTAATTATTTTGATTGAAGTGCAATGATGAGAGAAAATGTTCCAAAGAACAACAAGGCTGTGAATTCGGGTTGATAATATCAGCATCTTCTTCTGCCAGAGCTGCTCATGTCTGTGCATATCGACAGGGGATTCTCACAGGAGGATAGCATTACTGGTGAAAAATCTGTCTTGCATTGCTTGTTTCCTGGCTACTAGCTTGCTGGCAGCTTTCCAAGTCATAGATTCCATCTCGACTTTGTATATGGCCTATGTGTTCTAGATTTGTAAGAAGTTTTCCAACATCCGCTTACACCATCGCAGACGTGGCAGGCAACATGGAAAACGTCGCCTGAATAGGCGCCACTACTCCGTTGAAAAAGTGCTTCCGAAACTGTTCAAAATCGAAACTCTTCGTGACATCCCGTCCCGCAAACTCGCACCGCAGGCACCGCAGCACCGCGTACCCGTACGAGTCCCCGGCTTCAAGGTAGATGCTATCGGCTTGCAAGTTGGCAATTTCATAGTCGTCTACAATGGTTGACGCTGATGTTGGGTCTGCACCGGTGCTGTGAAGCCACTCCGCCCGGATGTCTTCAAAGGGACGGTTGAGGCAGAGTTTGATGAGGAGAATGCCGAGGGCAAAGAGGGTTTTGTTCCGGATTTGAGAGCTTTGAAAGCGGTCTGCTGGTCCGAGTGGAGCCAAAGAATCCTGTCCTGAAAAAGTAGAAGCTGGTGCGGAGAAGGTGTGTGTTATTAACGGGTTGTCGTTCACAATGTCTCCCTTGGCATTCGAGTACTTGGAGACGAAAATGTCATTTTTGTCAAATACTTCTTTTACCCAGGGCGATCCGCAGAGGTGCAGGACTCCCCATGCGATGGCTGCCGCGATTCCGAATCGCTGCTTGTGGGACAAGGCTACTTGTGCCTGGCCTCTGGTAGCCGTTTTTCTCGGTAAAGGTGATCCTAATGGCACGGCTGATGTTCGTGCTGTGCTGTTTTCCTTGGGAGCGTACAAATGAGCGATTCTGTCCCTGCAAGGGTCCGGGTCGGGGAGAGATCCAGTGCCGCATTCTCGGATAAATCGACACAGTGACTCCAAGCAGTGGAGATCAAGAAGAGACAGCTAGGCGAGGAACATCCAGATACATTGATGAACTTTCACGAGTATACTGGGGCCATGGACGGTTCAAGGAAGCTAAAGAGACAATACTCCAAGTAGTGGAGATCAAGAAGAGACAGCTAGGTAAGGTGGATGGACATACATTGGCCTACATGGAAGACCTGGAAGCATATTGCCGGGATCGCGGACAGTTAAAGGAAGCTGAAGAGCTCATACTCCAAGTAGTGGAGATCTACAAGACACAGCGAGGCCTGGAGAATTCAGGTACATTGTACCGCATGTCTGAACTGGCACCAGGATACCGGGATCAGGGACGGTTAAAAGAAGCTGAGGAGCTCAGACTCCAAGTAGTGGAGATCAGCAAGAGACGGCTAGGCCCGGAGCATCCAGAGACATTGTTCCACAGGCATAATCTGGCAGTAATATATGTGGCACAGGACCGGTGGAAGGAAGCTTATGAACTCGAGACACATGTGGTCGAGGCTAAAACAAGGTTATTCGGACAGGATGATTCAGACACGCTGGTCAGTATGCTCTATTTGTCAGCAATATATGTGTCTCTGGGCCAGCGGAATGAAGCTGGAGAGCTACAGAAGCAGCAAGCGATGGAGGCTATTAGGAGGGCACTGGCCGATGATGATTCTTCCAGAGAGAGATTGATTCGTTCGGCTGAGACTTTGAAAGCCCTGACAAAGAATCAGGATGTAATAAAATTGATGGACGAGGTGATCCAGATGACAAAGACTGTGTGACTATTATCCAGATACAGTGAAGTCAATTAAAACACTATATTCGCGCGAGAACAGTTGAATGATTCACAGAGCAGCGCCGGAGAATGGGATTGCATCCATGCCAATGACACGAAAACAGTAGTCTGAGATAATGAACTGGAAACACTTCGAGCTAACCGAGTCTCAGCTGGCTGAAATTGAGGAGATGAATATCTAACACGGCAAGAGGTGCATCCAAAAACACATCTATTCTCATCCATGAGGATGACTGACTGATATACAACTTGAACGCGCTCAACCTCCTGCAATCATCTCTATCACAACCCCTCAACCATCTCTCTCTCTCCCTGTCTATCTACACTCAATCAATATCAGGCAAAGGCGTCACCTTCCTAACAACCTTAGCCGGCGACCCCACCGCCACCGAGAACGGAGGGATATCCTTAGTGACGACAGCGCCCGCGCCAATGGTGCATCCATTCCCGATAGTCACGCCCGCGAGGAGGACGACGTTGCCGCCAATCCAGCAGTCATTGCCGATAGTCACGGGGCGGGCGTACTCGATGTTGTCGCGGCGGGACTGCACCTCTGTCTCGTGCGTGGCGGCCAGGATGCTGACGGAGGGGCCGATCATGACGCGGTGGCCGATGGTGACGAGGGCGCAATCGAGGATTGTTAGGCTAGGACGTCAGCGAGCATCTCTAAACATATACATATACATATGTAGGAAAGGGGGTTAGCATACTTAACATTCGCATAAAAATTCCTCCCAATCGACACATTACAGCCATAATCGACATGGAACGGCGGCTCGATATAGCATTCCGGCCCAACGCGCCCCAGCAGCTCGGACAGGATCTTCTCGCGGTCCGCCTGCAGCGATTCCGGCGTGGCGTCGTCGGGTAAGTGGCTGTTGTATTTCATGGTGAGGCGCTTGGCGCGCATTCGGGCTTGGACGAGGGTTGGGTTGAGGGGGTTATATCTGCGGCAGCATCAGCATCGTCAGTATGATAATTAGTTAAGTTAGTATGGGGACTGGAGGTTTACAGCATCCCAGAGATCATCTTCTCGTAGTCGTCGCACCAGGGGACGTTGTTCAATGCCCTTGCGGCCTGGATGGCTGCGGGGTCTTTGGTCGTGCTGGCCATGTTGTATTACCCCTCAGTCAAGTCAGAATTGGTGGGCTGAGTTGGTGTGTTGAATCGTGTGATTGTCTCGTATCAGGATAATGAATGCAATGTCCAGATATTATATAGGTACTGGTTAAGTAAATTATCTATTTAGGATATAGGACCTATATCAGTTAGTTATGTAAGTAATTATTAGTTCACGTTGCACAGCATACATAGTATATATATATGCTAGAAAAAAAAAGAACCCCTAGCTAGAGAAATGACTTACTCGAGAGAGAAAATCCTCGCCTGAAGCTATGATAGTTATGATAGCTAGCTAGCTAGACAGTACTGGCATTAATTGTTGCGGGCTAAGCCCATATTGCTGACTCAGCTTCGCTCTCGTCTTCTGATTGGTCTATTTGTTGTTTATCACATGACTCCTGTTGATACAGCTCGCGTGCCTTTCTCTTCCTTTCTTCCTTCCCCAGCGAATCCTTTTTATGAGCTCCTAGTTTCTAGACAGCAAGGCTTTGGCCCTTCACATTAGGATTCGCTCGTCTATCTCCTCATTGGTCTCACTGGTTTCATCGGAAGCTGTATTGGCAGCTACTCATCGGTTCGAGGGTAAGCCGTATCGACGGCCTCTGCCCCATTAGTTCATCGGGACTGCTCCAGCAGTCATTCTCATCGGTTCATAGGACTACC